CTAAGACAACAAAATAAAAAAAAATGGTGAGGTTGATGATAAGCAGTATGTAAAAGAAACTAAAAAAAGAAAAGAAAAACGTTAGGATATGGATAATTCGCAAAGATACAAAATAAGAAAGATATTGATTAAATTAGAGTTTTAATAAAATACATTCTTGAACTCAAAACACAAAGGTATAATCTCTCCACTGTCGTGTCTCCAATCACTATGCTTTAACAACCTAATAGACTCAACTTTTGGAAGGTTATTACAAGAAGAAAACATGCATTAGTTCGAGCAAGTAATGATTGTTCACTAGACTCCTTAACTCAGACTTTTGGAAGATTAAGACACCTAGCTCACCAAATATTAGATCAATCAACATAACAAACTTTTGGAGATTATGTTTACCTAGGATCAGATCACTAGATGGCCAACCAAGCAATCAGCAATTAGCACAAATAAAGGTGATCCATATAATGAACCCTTTAGAATATTTGATATTAAATTAACATGATATGCACTTAAAATCTCTAAGAACAAAGTGAGAATGAAAAGAAAACAAAGATGAGGTTTCTGTGTATAGGCATGGCTACTAGGGCTCTCTCTGCGGCTCTCTCTCGTGCAAAAGGCTAAAAACAAGTATATATAGGGTTAAGAGAAAGACCTAGTTGGCTAGTTCCATTAGGATCAGGGTTAGGTCAAAAAAGGAATTTTCCTTTTCACTAAGGTACAAGGTCGGCCAAGGCTTTGGGTCGAGCACCTTACCCAATTTCTGTTGTCGGTTTACGAGAAAGTCTCCAGGCCGATCTTCCGGGCCAGTCTTGGGACTTGTTCTTGCACCTGCTTCTTTTGCGAGCTAGATAGACATGTCTTCAGCAGAATCGTCATAACTTTATAACCTCAACTCCAAATAACTTGATTCTAATTCCGGATGAGAGTTAACTAAAAAATCTATCATGTATCCAAGTTTCGTCTCAATCCATGCATGGGAAGGTACTCTACGAGCATGAAACTCTGATGTATCTGTACTGGCCAATTTAGAGAAACTTGCTTCCTTTGAGTTTAGGTTCTTGGCTCTTCTTTTTGACTTGGGGAAATGTCATGAACACGATCTAGTGCTCTTTTGCTCCATTATCCATCTTTTTGATGTTTTGACCTGTAAAATCTCTAATCACTATAAATACAATAAAACTACCACTAGATCTATAAAACCTCATAAAAAACACTTAGATAATTGTATATTGAAAACCATATAAAAATCATGTAAAATATAGGTATATCAGATACTAAGAATGTCATAGTGGCACACTGGTCAAGATTCATTAAAGATTTATGTTATCATTCTCAAAACTGCGTTTTTTTTTTTTTTAAAAAGTGATAATAAAAAAGCTAAAAATGCCAAAAAAAACTCTCAACTCACAACATTCAGCCAAAAAAACCACCAACTGGATAAAATAAATCTTCAACTTTTATTGACTAATTCATTTAATTCCCAATTTGTTTAGACTAAACCATTTTAGACTCAACGTTAGTCAACAATTAAAGTTGACTAACAATAGGACTATAACGGTTCGTTTAATAAAAGTTGAAATTTTATTTTGAAGTGAATGTTGAAATCTTTTTTTTTCGAAAAAGTTAATTTTTTTACAATTTTGTATTTAAAATAGTGAAAATGATACATCAAAGTTTAGAAAATTACATGATTTATATTTTCATGATAAATTATATATCCCAACAATATTTAACCCAAAATGTTTTTTTCAATGAATTTCTTAAATTAATACAATTTTTTAAACTTGTAAATATTTAATAATAACATAAAAAACTACGATAGATTACATGATTATAATTAATTATGTATTGGTAAAATTTTGAAAATAATTATAAACTTTAATAACATTTTCATTATATTATAAAGTAGGTAAATAATACAAAATTTAGTAGTTATTTTCAAAATAATTATGAATAAAAATAATATTTTGATGACTTTTATTAGAAATTGATTTTTAAAAATGCTAATTTCATTTTTATACTATGTTCAAATTATTTTTAGGTGATAAATAAAATAGAGATAAATAAAAAGAAAATTTCATTTTTCATATCAGTATTTTTTTTTCAACTAACAAAATAGATTTTTTAATTGTTAATATTTTATTATTCATATTATTTTTTATTACTTTAATTAAAAAATTTAGAAAAAAATATTAAAAAAACCAAAAAAATCCCCAAATTTTTATTTACCAAAATAATCCTAAACTTTTTATTCACCAAAAACCTCAAGTTTTTATTTATAAATTTACCATTTTAGTCCTATCATTAGCCAACTATAAATGTTGACTAACGTTGGGTCTAAAATGGCTTGGTCAAAAAAAGTTAAAGATTAAACAGATTATTTAACAAAAGTTAAATATTTTTTTTGTCCACCGAATAGTTGGTGGTTTTTTGGACTGAATGTTGTGAGTTGATAGTTTTTTAGGCATTTTTTCCTAATAAAAAGACTAAAAAAGAAAAGATAGTGAGTTAAATATGATCTGGCTGGTCTGGACAAAGAGATAACCTCTACACAGCAGCACTCTCAGCAACAATACTCCTTAACTCAGTGGTAAAATCTTTTCCTTGTTTAAATGTAATTAATTAAACAAAAGAAATATTTACATATATAAGCAGTGAATCTTTTCAAAACATTAGCTGGTCACTGAGACAAGAAAGCTGAGCATTAAGAAGAAACTAAGATATTAGCCGGTCACTAGTATTAGAGTGATGAGAGAAGAACACATTGAGTGTTTGGGAAGAATTGTATATTGCTCTCATGAGAATAGCTACTAGGACTACATACATATTTATACTAAAGATATTTCCTAAACTAAATAGATACAAATCTCTATAATATCTGAATAAGAACTATACAATATTTACTAATAATATTATGGATCTTCTAGATCCTTCTATACGCCCCCTCAAACTCAAGGGGGAATGGAGAAATGCGGAATTAGCGGCTTGAGGTTGACCATGAATTGATAGAATTAAGGTGAGGAGTCTTGAGATCAACTTGCTTTGGACTCTTTATGGGCTTGACTTTGACGGTAGATGAAAAATATGTAAGGAACAATAGAACATTTGGAGCCATGAAAAGATGATAAAGTGACAGACGTGGCGGTGAGAGGACCTTGCGGGAGAGAGTCACCTAGGCTGATAGTAAGGGAAACGGTTGTTGTTGTTTTTGTCAGTTGGACAATGGCATATGGTGACGACGTAGAGGATACAAATCTGATGTGGTGATGTCAAAGACACCATGGGAATCAAACGGTGGATGCGGTGGGAGACCATTGAAGGAGACGCTTCAACTATGCGTTGCAAGGAAGCACTTTGGCTTCTTGATGGAAGCACTTAGGCAGTGAGCCATGGTGGAGATCATAGATCTCGTGTTGGTGACATAGTTAAAAGGCTCGGCTTGGACCAATGTTTTGGCGGTGCAGTGGAAGCACAAAAGGTGTGATGAACCTTGTCTTTGAGGAAAGAAAAAGAAGTCGATGGCTGATTGATTTTTTTTTCTGGATTAAGAAGCCCATTGGCTTGAAAGAGTAACTAACACAAAAATCCCATAGCTTATGAAAACATGAAGTCCAATGGCTTGAAAGAGTAAGAAAAAGAAGCACGATGGCTTGAAAGTTGAAGCTAAAAGATAATTATTATTTTTTTTTTAACAATTAAGATTGGAAAAGTATTGTAGTTTTGAAAACAATTAAGAAGCTCAAAAATGAAAGGCATGTGGCTTAGATTCAGAGGTCCATGATAGACTTGAATAAGAAGAAGCTCTATGGCTTAGATTCAGAGGCACTTAGGCTTGAATTAGAGAAGCACTATGCTTAGATTTAGAGGTACTTATGCTTGAATAAGAAGCTCGATGGCTTGGATTCAGAGATTCATGGTGAACTTTAATTTTAGAAGCACTTGGCTTAGAAAAGAAAAAAAAATATGAAAAAGAAGTTTGATCGCTAGATTAAAAATTTAGAGCAAACCTGCTCTGATACCATATTAGAGTGATGAGAGAAGAACACATTTAGTGTTTGGGAAGAATTGTATATTACTCTCATGAGAATAACTATTAGGACTACATACATATTTATACTAAAGATATTTCCTAAACTAAATAGATACAAATCTCTATAATATCTAAATAATAACTATACAATATTTACTAATGGATCTTCTAGATCCTTCTATAACTAGTTCAGATTATGCCAAGCAACTAAGACTCTCCAACGATCAAGCTTCAAAGGATTCAACATTTCATCTAAATACTTCTAGCTATATGTATGTTTTACTAGTATCCAGAGGCTCAGTACATAAAGGTTGGTTGGTTTAGTGAATATAATTTAACCTTCAAACAAAAATAATTAAAATGAAATCTTTGCCACCTTTGCATTCATTTCGTGGCACCTTGTCCACTATAGCCCATCATTACGCTCGTTTGTTTACAGTTCATCGTTTCCTACAATTTATTCTTGTTTTCTGACAATACACTCTTAGATTTACAGCTTTTCGTCAGCGTTCAATTTGCTACAAAACTCTGTGTTATATAAATGAATAGTGTGTACCAAAGTAGACATAACATAATCAACCAATTTTATTTTAAAAGATTGTGTACACTTTACAGTCTGTTATAATATACCTTCGCTATAAAAAAAATGCTAGCGCTAGTTGATTACTCTCAAATCATATTAGTATTGTAAATAGTTGTCTATTAAGATTTCAGTTTATTCTGCTTAACAATCCTAATAGACAACTCACTATATAATTCTGTTTCGTAAGTACCTTACTATCATACAGAAATTTTACCGAATTTTATCCCAGTTTTAAATATCTGTGATCTAAATTCCATAAAGCAATTACACTGAGAAAGTAATGATTCATGTCTTCTCTTTCGGCGAAAAATATTCAAAATAAACAATAATATACACCAAAAAGGCAATTCCATTTATTTAGCAGGCTATAGAGACTCCCCAAAAGAACACACATCATAAATCATAATCATATTCTTCTCCCAATCACAATGGCGTCAAGAACAATGGAAACATCTATTTTCATGATCTTCACGGCCGTGGCACTAATGTCCGGTGAGAGAGTAATTGCAGTGGACTGTTCGTCGCTGATACTAAACATGGCAGATTGTCTATCGTTCGTGACAAGTGGTAGTACGGTGGAGAAACCGGAAGGCACATGTTGCTCAGGACTCAAGACTGTGGTTAGGTCAGGACCTGAATGTCTTTGTGAGGCTTTCAAGAATAGTGCTTCACTTGGTGTTACTCTTGATCTTACCAAAGCTGCTGCTCTACCTTCTGTCTGTAAAGTTGCTGCTCCTCCATCTGCTCGTTGTGGCCGTTAGTTTCATCTTTCAATTCTCCTTTCGATATGTGTTTTCCTTATATATACATTTGTGTATGGATTTGTTCATTAAATTTTGAAAATGTTGTGTTGCAGTGTCTGTATCTGCATCTCCTCCTTCTGCTGCCCCCGGTATGTTTTCTCATGCTTTTTCAGGTTCCTTTTTTTTGTTGATATTGTTGTAAATAATAGATCTGAACTGAAGCAGAGTACAGTAAAACCTCTATAAATTAATAATGTCGGGACTACAATATTCTATTAATTTATCGATATAAAAATCAGTTAAAAAAATAGTTTGGGACTTAAGAAATGTATTAATTTATCGAGGTATTAATTTATCGAGGTATTAATTTATCGAGTATTAATTTATAGAATACTTTCTAGTGTTTGTTTAATAATTTTGATTGGAACTGGTTTGTGGTTTGGTTTTGAATTTTTAATAGAATAAAAAATATAAATGAATAATTAGTTCAATCCTTATTTCAGTTTGTTTTTTTATTCTGGTTTTTAGATGAATAATAATGATTTGTTTCGGTTATAGATTCGATTTATAGTCAGGGGGTAATCAAATGTATCCTTAATTTTCAAGAAATATGGTTCTCCTTACTTCGGTTTAGTTCAAATCGGATCGGTTTGTATGGATGAAACACCCCAAATTTAAATCCAGTGATAAAATCTCCTCAAAATTATCTTCAAAATAAATTATATTATTTCTAAATCAGAATAAATTTTATATTTTTAGAAAATCTAAATGTCTTCTTTCTACACACTTTTCTTCTCATTCAAATTAGATATTTATTTTATGTCTACTCAACTAAAATAATCAGAGTTTGAGGATTAAGCATTTTTTCGTATGAATGTGAACAGGTTTATCTCCCATGGCTGGAGCAGGTGCACCGGCGTCGTCCGGTGGAGCAAGTGCTGCAACTCCAGTTCCAGTCCCTGGAAGCTCGAATACATCCTTAATCTCTATCTCTTTGGCATTTTCCCTCTTTATCGCTCTCATATCTTTATCTTTTCTATTGAAGATTTAGGACTTTTTTTTCTGCAATTAATATCATTTTGTTTGCTATGAAGATAAAGAATTTGATGTACTGTTACCAATTACTTTTTCCCTTCATGTTAATTTTTTAATGAGAATTTTATTATGAGTAATACCACTATATACCAAAGAAATAAAGTGATATTAACTCATTCCATCTGGCACTATTCAAGAGCAACTGTTCAAAAGGAAAGTACTTTACAACTCTTGTATTAACAAATCCTCAAGCAACTCTTTCCACGTGGGACCAGAAAGCATCAAAAGTGTCTGTTGATATTATTTTCTCTCTCATATGCAACAAAAAAAATACTTAAAACAAAACGACAAAAATTGGAAAGAGAAATAGTCCATTTTTCTCTTTATTGAAATTGTTCTTCGGGAAAGTCGCTTTATTTTCCATTTCTTGTTTGTTTCTTCTCTATTTCTTGTTTGTTTATTCTCCACGCCTTCTAGTTCTTCCCAGCGATATTCTAGTTAATTTTGGCAGTGATAATACTGTTTCCGGCGTGCTGGTTCTATTTTAAAAATTGACAATTCGGCGGTGGTGTAAGTTTTTTTTAAGCGGCACTTTGTTTAATGAGTTTGATATTTTGAATATCCATGGGGTTTAGGAGATATTGCTCCAGATCTTCCTTACCAATTTTTAAACTTTTTTTTTCACTATTGCCGATCATTCTTGCAGGAAAAATAGAAGATCTGGAGTTACCTCAGAGAATCCTCGCCGCCAACTATGTTCCAACTGGCGAGAGGGTCAATATATAACAGAAACCAGCGAAAACGACCATTACAGATTTGGAGCAGGAGTCAGCGTATCTGAAGTGGAACTTTCTGTTAATTGCATGTATGGCTAGCTTCATTTTTCACTCCTCTTGTGATTTAAAGATGTGTCCAACGAAAATATTGTCTCCCTCATAGTCCACATCGCGGACAGCTCGAGCAAGTTCATCTACTGAGATTTAATGTATGGCATTGTTAACGACTCATTGGTATCGACATTGTTAACAACTCAATAGTCATAACAATAAAGTTGTTAACGTTATACGGTTATCGACAATTTATTTAAACTATGTTCGTTGTTGAAGGTTGTGTTTACTGTTTTGGTGAATGTTTTTATATTGAAATTTTTGGGTATCGAAGCAGTCTGGTTTTAGGGCTTAGTGCTTATGTGTGGGTTTTAATAAAAATCTATAGGGTTCACTTAAGTAGATTAGGTTTTATTATTATCCATTTTTGGAAGTGTTTTTAGGGTACCTATGTGTACGTTATATAGTACAATTGTTAACAAAATCTACATGGTGTTTGGTGTAAGGTGCAATTGTTAACGATATCTAATGATAACTACGTTAACGAGAATCTGTTATCGACAATTATATTAACTTAGGTTCCATACTTGAACCTTGTCTTCAGTGAATTGGCTATAGAGTTTATATTGATTACGGTGAACCTTTATAATGCTATAGTTTTTAGGATTTAGGGTTTAGGGTTTATGGTTTAGTGTTTCGAGTATATGTTTTTTCTATTTATCATTCATGACCATCTGATAACATTAACGCAATCAAAGTTTAAATTATAAAATTACTCTATATAAAATTTTTGGTTTATATGTGTCAACTTTTATATATAGATTTTTTTTTTTTAAATGTTAACAGAGTTAACAGTGTTAGTTGCAAACTTGCATCCTTGGCGACATCTATGTTGGACTGTCCATTGTTATCAGTAATCCATTTACACACTTCTTCAACGCCAATGTTGGTGGGTGTTCTAGCAAATGGTGAAGGAACATCATGGAAAAATTTCCACAACTCGCTGAAAGATATGACCACCGGAAGACAGACCTGTCTCAAAGCCATTTTGGAGCAATCCAATACGTCTGAAAGACTGCCTGTCCAGGGAGCTTTTCCGTCCGATTCAGCTGTTGGAGTCTTCATGAAAGTTAGAGAAGATTGAGTCGTGGATCCATAACAGTTTGAATAAGAAGATTCGGATCAGTGAGCTGAGAGTTATAGCCATCGGGAGACGAACAGGTCTGCACTCATTTCGGAGAAACCAGATACGCCTCAAAGACGTCGTTACTGGGAGGCCTTACCTTCCGATCTGGTTTACGGGATCTTCATGGAAGTTTTAGAGAACTGAGTCAAGTTTCCAGATCGCTTAGAATCGTGAGATTTGGAGTCGTGAGCTAGGATATAATGCAACCGGAAGAAAGACATGTCTAGAAGCCGATTTGAACCCGTGCAACGCACTTCAAGATCAGCCGTCCGGGGAGCCTTCCAGTTCCCAAGTGCCGATAATTTTTTCATAAAAGTTTGACCTGGTTGAGTCACCTTGCCTGTGGACTTGATTTTGTGTCATTTGGAGTTGGGAGCTGAAAGTTACACAGAACAGAAGAGAAGCTGGTCAATTCGGGTTTCAAGGGATGCGACTGTGTGCTAAGTGTTGTGCCATACCTCGACGTGAACACCTCGACTTGTCATGAAGAGGAGGCCTGTTTACGAAGCTTTTAGCCTAAACCTCGGGCTAACACCTCGGTCATTCAACACCGAGGCTTCCTTGCTCACCAAAATAATCTCAAAACGACTAAGTATCAGCTTAAGCACCTGTGGGGATCGATCTGGGATTTGTCTAATTATGGGAGCTGACCTCGGTGTGAACCCCTTGGCTTTCACATGTCGGGCCCCTATGTAACACACCCCTTGACCTCTAGACCCCTCGGTGTAACCACACAGAGGTGCTTCTCACACAAAACAAAGCCCCAAAACCTCACCTTAGCCCCACGGTGTCTTCTAGGCCGAGGTGCAATGTTTCACCGAAAGAAAAGCTCCAGACCTCGACCAAACACCTTGGTGTGAGCTACACCGAGGCCCTCATGTCACCAACCCAGATCACAAACAAGTTCTCTTCACGTTCCAAGGCTTTAACCGGATCAAAGGCAAGTTTCATGCATGTTTTTCAAGTGTTCATCAAAGTTTCAACCCAGCACATGGCCCCCTGGTGTATGACCCTCGGTGTGGGACTTCTTCATATGTCGAGGGGTGGCTCCAGCAACCCAGAAAGGGCGGGTCAGCACCCAGTTTGTCCTGGGCTGACCCGGCCCAATGCCTTTTATATAAATAGTGTTTAGGGACTAAAACCCTACTCATCCTTTATCTTAGCTCTTGTCTTGTTTTCTCTTTACTTTTCTTTGCCTCTTTGGTGTAAAAACGAGTTTGATCAAGAGATATCTTGCAGATTTAATCATCTAAAAGCCGTTTCTTGTCATCTCATGATCTCATCTTGCTTCTAATCATGATTGACATCACCTCTTGCAAAGGATGGTGTGTTTTTCATGATTAGTGAATAGTCATCTCTTAAGCTTCTAGGTGTGTAGTTTAGGGTGCTTAGATGCTTGATTTATGATGTTTAGGTTTTAGATTCTCATTTCCATTCCTTAGTTAGCTGATCTTAATTTTAGATCTTTGCACATCACTCTGATCTAGAGCTTAGGCATCTCCACCCACAAGGTGTTTGATGAAATACCTGAATGAGCTAAGCTAATGGTTTATGCCTTTTTCATCATGAAAGTGATAGTTAAATGCATGAATGACATATTAGAACTGTTTCTTATTGCTCATTGATTCATATTTCACAAATGAGAATTTGGTTTGAAAGTGGATTAGTGTAGGGATTAATGCCTTCATGAGAGGATTAGTCTAGTTTAGAGTTCTAAGTTAATTGGATTTGAGATCATGTGATTGCTTGTTGCATCTTTCTGTATAAGATTCGGTCTCTCTTAAGTGGAAATTGTTTGGTCATTATTAGACTTGATACTATATGCTTGTTGATTGCTTGATCTTGCTTAAAGTGAATTAATCTTGATTAAGTGATTTACAAAGGGATTATTGTCATGGGAATGAATTAATCTGCTTTTGAAGTCTAGACTAAAGAGTAACTTGCATTGCATTATTGTTCTTAGCATCATGAATCAATATCTAAAGCACCCTAATCAATGATCACATCTAGAGGTTTAGCTTTCATCATTTACTTTATAATCATCATCTTTGTTAATTACTTTGTTTAGTTCATTAATCATTGCTTGTTTGTTTCTTGTTTATGCTTACTTTGTTACGTGTTACCAAACTCATCTTTGATCACTTGACTTAAGAGCTTATCTTAAAAACTAGTGCCTAACTACCACACATATGGATTGACACCCCTTATACTACTTTGACAAGGGGATTGATAACCCTTCTAAGAGCCCAAAAACTCTTAGTTATCAAAGTGGTACCAGAGCGCTCAGGTTGGGAGAGGTCAAACAAGGGATCCAGAAGAAATTACGGTGACAACAAGAAGGGACTTACAAGGCTTTGAGGAGGAGGATATTGCTTAATCGATTCACGGACCTTGGTGAAATCAGGCGCGATCTCAGCAGTTTGTTCACGACCGAGTTCAAGCCACGAGCTCAGGGAGTCTTTCTGATCCTTATTCAATTTTTTTACTCATACATAGCTTATCCTCGGAATCATCTTTATCTCATCACATATCCTGTATCTTGTGATTTTTCGGAGTTCACTTTTTCTGCCTAAGTTGGGGTTATATCTTTCGTGTGCCTGCAGGTGACTGAAAAAAAGCCAGATTAACCAACAAAGATGGATCCAACACCAGGAAAGTTTGAGATGGATAAATTTGATGGAAAAAGGGACTTTGGTATGTGGAAATTTCAAGTTGCTGGGACAGTTAGAGATTCAAGGGTTTCTATCAGTTCTACAAGAAAGCACGGCATCCGCTTCAGAAAAGGGTACATAAGGCACATACGCAAAGGCAGATCCTAAAAGGGCCGATAAGGATCTTTGGGTAAGGAGCCTCCTGAGTACATGCTTGAGTGACACCATTTTGTGAAAGATCATGAATGAAAAGACCTCTCTTGGCATGTGGAAAGTATTGGAAAGGGACTATTAAACAAAGTCACTTCCAAACATGATCTATCCCAAGCAGATGTTTGCGAGTTACAAGATGGAGGAAAGCAAGACTATCGAAGAAAACCTAGACTCATTTCTGAAATTCATAGCTGATCTTG